GGATGCTCCGCTGGGAACACGGAGGATATGTGGGACCCCTGTGGGAACTACCCTTGGGAACACGGAGGATACAGGGCATCCCCTTGGGATGCACCCCTGGGGACAGGGAGGATACAGGAGACCCCCGTGGGATGCTCCCCTGGGGACAGGGAGGATACAGGAGACCCCCGTGGGATGCTCCCCTGGAGAACACAGAGGATACATGGGACCCCCAGCAGGATCCACCCCTGTGTACACAGGGGATATAGGGACATCCCCTTCAGGATGTGCCCTGTGTGTGTGTGGGATACAGGGGACCCCTGAAGGGTGCACCCCTGTGTCCATGAGGGATGTGGGGAGTCCCTGGGAGGATGCACCTCTTTGGACACAGGGATATGAAGGGGACCACCAGGGGCTGCATCCCTGAGTGCCTGGAGGGATGTGAGGGTTACCTGGAGTAGGGCACCCCACTGCATCCCAGAGGGTCCACAGGAGATGCTGAGGGTTCACCCCAGAGAACTGTGGGGCTCTAAAATGTTGTGGTCAAGGGGAATGTGGACTCTGAGGGTGCCAGGGGGGTGCACCCCAGTATATTTGTGGGAGTCAGAGGAGTGATGCCCTGCTGCACCTGGAGGAGTGGGGGACCCTGTCCCTGATACACTGTGGGGCTCTGGTTCTGCTGCAGCCATGTGATGAGGGGACAGGCTCCTGCCTGGTTCTCACTGCCAGCCTCAAAGTGGGGGATGGAGTTAGAGAAGGAGCTGGGACAGGGGTGCAGGAGGCTCTGTGTGGGGTGCCCTGGCCCAGGGCAGGTGCAGGTGTGTGATTTGGGGTGCCCAGTGATTCAGGGTGCCATGCCCAGTGACGCAGGGACCTGCCCACAGCTGGCATTGCCTTCCCTGGCAGTGCCTCACCTGTGGGCACAGGGCCAGGGCAGGGCTGTGGAACCAGCCTGGGAGCTGCTGGCCTGGAAAGCTGGAAACAGAGCCTGTTTTGCAACTTGACCTCAAAGTGTTGGAGGTTTAATGAACAGGACGTTTCGTACCGTGGGATTGGAGGGAGAGCAGTCTCCAAGGCCTCCCTCTCTGACACATTCCCATAGTTTTCCTTATGGGCAGGCATTGGGAAAGCTGAGAGTTACTCCAGAGCAGGGCTGTAGAGGTTTGTGGTCTAATTCTGGGTGTTTTTCCTCAAAAACCAATCTGCCCCAGGCCATGGTAACAGGTAAAGTCCCTAGATAGGTTTAATTGTCTTGTTCCTCTGGTTGACTCAGGGGCTGTTTTAGCACAGTTCTGAGCTGAAGAACCACAACACAGAAAAAATCCAATCCCAAACCAAATAACTCCCCCAATCTGTGTTATTTTCCATTAGTTCTAATGAGAACATCTGAACTAGCTCCTCCTGCTCTGCCTGCATCATTTGAGTCACAGCAGCATCAGATTGCAAAGCCATCTCTGCAGTGCTTTCCCATTAAAACCCTTCATGCTGTTCCCAAACGAAAATTTCCCTTTCCCTGCCTCCAGTGATTTGTCAGACTGCTGCTGTGAGCAGTGTGGCTGTTCCAAGCTGCCTTCCTGGGGGAGACAAAGTTGCTGTTGCCAGCAGAAGGCTGCCCCAGCCAAAGCAAACCCTGTGTGCTTGGACAGCCCTTTGACATGGTTTAGGCACCTCATGGGGACATTCCACCTTGTGGTACCACTGCAAAGCCAATGCCAGGTGAGAGGGCCACCAGCCTCCCAAACCCTCTGCCTGCCCCTGTGGGGTTGGTATTGATTAACCTGCATGGTCATTAATTTGGCAGGAGGTAAACACCAGTTGCTTGGCATAGCTGTTGGTTAACTCAGTCTCTGCATCCCTGGGATTGCTGAGTGAAGGCAGCTTGTAGATGGAGAGGGTCTCTGTTAGGAACTGAGGGATAGGACAAGGAGTAATGGGTATAAACTGAAAAAGGGGAAATTGAGATTAGATCTTGGGCAGAAGTTTTCCCTGGGAGGGTGGTGAGACACTGTCCCAGGTTGCCCAGGGAGGCTGTGGCTGCCCCAAGCCTGGCAGTTTTCACAGCCAGGTTGGCTAAAGCCTTGAGCAACCTGCTCTGGTGGGAGGTGTCCCTGCCCAGGGCAGGGGGTTGGGGCTGGATGATCTCTTCCAACCCCTTCACATACTATGACAGTGTGTGTGTTGGGGTGGTGTTGGGTTTGAGTTGTTGGGGTGCTGTAGTTGGGTTGCTGTTGTTGTGCTGCTGTTGTTGGGGTGTTGTCATTGTGTTGGTGTAGTTGGGTTCATGTTGTGTCTCCCTGCCTTGTCCTGCTCTGGCACTCTCTCCCAACCTCCAGGCAGAGGAGGGAGCACAAACCCTTCCGTGTGAGTCGCACTGGAGGTGAGTTGGATTTAATGAGGAAGTTGATAGCGAAACTGGAGAGATTAATCATTGATCTGCAGTGGCTGAAAACCAACCCTTCCTCATTAACCCACCACTCTCCTGCTGCAGCCACTTCCCTGGTAGCTTTTTCCATCCTGCTCTTTGGCCCTTGGCCATATTCACACCTAGGGACGTCTCTGAAAGCCTTTGAAAGGAGAATCAGAGTGTGTCCAGCACTGGGAGAGGCTTTTCCTTGCTCTTAACCCATTTGCTTTCTAAAGGAAAAGGCTGAAATCAAGAGGTGTTCAGGCAGCAGGTTGGGTCAGTGTGTGGCATAGAGAGTTCTTTTGCTTCCTGCTTAGAGGGTGTACCCTAAATGAGCAAAAAAAAAAGGCTCCTGGTGACGTAGGACTTGTATTACTGCTGCATGGAGAAGGTCAATAGGACAGAGTTGCTGCACCCTGTTACCTCAGCTGCTCAAGAGACTGTGAAACCTGAAATATAGCCATGGAGTTTGGCTGTGTGAGTCACCCTTGACCATCTAAGGAACCTGAGTGTGCAGGATGAGTGTGTTCCCAGAGCTGAGTGCACCTGGCAGTGCTGCCCATGCTGGATTTGGGAAGCCAGGACCCACTGTGGGTGCTGTGCCTTGGTTTCCCCACCTGTAAAGTGACCTTTGGGGAGAGGAAGGATGGCAGAAGGAGTTGGTCTCTCTGTGGTGCTGATATCAGTGGTTTCCCCATCCTTAGGCTGAAAGGGAAGCCTGAAACTATTCTGCAAACATTCTTTGGGCACAGAAAGGAAACTCCTGTGGGACAAAGCTTTGGTTTGACTGGAGCAAAGAAGATGAGGGTACCTCCAGGACTCTTGGTGCCATTTCCACATTGGCTGGTTGTTGCAGTGAGCCTGTTCCTGTGGCTCTTTTGGTTCCCAACAACTTTTTGGGAAGGATTTGTGGCCATTACCATGATATCTCATGGGCTGGTGAGAAGATCTAAGTAGATCTCCTGGCCTAGCCATGTGGATTTCTGGGAAAATCTCCTTATCAATTGAGCTGGGCACATATTTTGGAGCCAATTCCACTCCCTCTGACATGTGGATGCTCTCTTTGCAGGTGTCCTGTCTCTGTGGCTCTGCTCCATGCCTGCTCTGTGGCTGCTGCCCCTCGGCCAAGAACTCCACCATTTCTCGCCTCCTCTTCACCTTCTTCCTCTTCCTTGGCACCCTTGTGTCCATCATTATGATAATCCCTGGTGTGGAGAAGGAGCTGCACAAGGTAAATAACACCCAGAGGTCGCTGGGAAGAAGTTCAGCTCATGGTGGGTATGTGAGGCTGAATCAGAAAGTGAATTTTTGGGGCATGATGTTGCTCCTGTCCCTTTTTTTTTCTGGGCATCTCCCTGGATGAAGGTGTTATTAGCCCTGGTTTTCCACGGAGGGGAAAATACAGTGGGATAATTTCGTGGACTATCTAGTTTTCCCAGAAGTGTTTCTTGCATCCTGATTTTGGGGTTCAACTGATGACTTGCAAGTCACAGAGATGTTTCTTAAGATGGAGGGAGTGGAGGTCTGAGAGCTGAACTGCTGTGAAGGCTTGGCTGAACCTGTGGGAAAAGCTGGTTTCATCCCAGGTTCCCACTGACCTGCAGGATGACAACCCCACCACTGTCCCCAAGCAAGTGGCATTGGAACAGTCATGGACTGGTCCATCTTTGGTGGCCCCAGGGCTCACAGTGGGTGTGGAACCACTGAATCACAGAATGGTTTGGGTTGGAAGGGACCTTAAAGCTCATCCAGTTCCACCCCTTGCCATGGGCAGGGACACCTTCCACTAGCTCAGGTTGCTCCAAGCCACATCCAACCTGACCTGGAACACTCCCAGGGATGGAGCAGCCACAGCTTCTCTGGGCATCCTGAGGGCTTCAGAATCCAAGAGCTGATCTTGAATACAATCAGATCTTCAACCCAGACCTTCCCACCACCTTCACTCACCAGTAGGATGTGCCAAGCTCACCCTTCCCTTGCTGTTGCAGCTCCCTGGCTTCTGTGAAGGCAGTGGCTCAGTGCTGGGAGTCCAAAGCCACGTGGACTGTGGCAGCTTCCTGGGCCACAAGGCTGTGTACCGCATGGGCTTCGCCTTGGCTGCTTTCTTCTTCCTCTTCGCGGTGCTCATGGTGTGCGTGCGCAGCAGCAAGGACCCTCGAGCTGCTGTGCAGAATGGGTGAGTGCTCCTCCCTGCCAGGGGGGATGGTGTGGGAAAGGGCTGGACCCCCCCATTCCTATCCCTCTGGTGGGTTCCCATGTGCAGCTTGTACCTTCTCTCTCTACTCCCACAGCTTCTGGTTCTTCAAGTTCCTGGCCCTGGTGGGGATCACAGTGGGAGCTTTCTACATCCCTGATGGTGCCTTCACCTCGGGTGAGGAGCTGCTCTGCACCTCTGCACAGGGTTGAACTTGGGGCTGGGCTTTAATCCCTGCTGCCCTATGCCCCCAAGTCTTGCTTTCCTTGTTCTTAATTGTTTCTTCTCCTTCTCTCAAGTCTGGTTTTACTTTGGTGTGGTTGGCTCCTTCCTCTTCATCCTCATCCAGCTCATCCTCCTCATCGACTTTGCCCACTCCTGGAGCCAAGTGTGGCTGCACAACGCGGGCGAGGGCAACGCCAAGGGCTGGTATGCAGGTTTGTACAGTGCCACCACAGAGGGTTTTGGAGAGAAGCTCATCCCAGGACTGGGTGATGTTGACCTAGCAGGGACTGGGGGCTCTGCTCCAGCCTTTCTCCTTTGTGTTTCCTCCCCCAGCCCTCTGCACTGTCACCTTCATCTTCTATGCTGCCTCCGTAGCGGCCGTAGCGCTGCTCTATGTCTACTACACCAAGCCTGGGGCTTGCACGGAGGGTAAGGCTCTCATCAGCATCAACCTCATCCTCTGCTTCATCGTCTCTGTTGTGTCCATCCTGCCCAAGATCCAGGTGAGGCAGTGGGAGGCACCAAGGAGGACAGTGGCCATGTCACTGCAGGGTACAGGAGCACCCTGAGCACACACTGTTGTGTTTGCAGGAGGCTCAGCCACACTCAGGGCTGCTGCAGGCATCACTCATCACCCTCTACACCATCTACGTCACCTGGTCTGCCCTGGCCAACGTGCCAAGTAAGCCTTGGGTTCAGAAGGGGGTTAGATGGGGCAGGACCACACACTGGGGTGAGTGCTTTGTCCTTCTGGATCCCTGGAGTCTAAACCTGCTGTGTGTCCCCCCCAGTCCAGAGCTGTAACCCCACACTGCTGGTGAGGAACAACACTGGCTCAGCCACAGCCACCCAACCACTGACAACCTGGTGGGATGCCCCGAGCATCGTGGGGCTGGTCATCTTCATCCTCTGCACCCTCTTCATCAGGTGAGATCTGGGGCTGGCCTGGAGCAGAGAGCCACTGGGAGAGGCTCTCTGGAGGGGAGGTCACACCTTGGTCCAGGGTTTTTTGTCACTAAGTGCTTCTTGCAAAGCCATCCCTGTCCCCAGGGGCACAGGGCATCACGTTCCCCATTGACTGCTTCGCCCAAACTTCCCAGGGGATGTCTCCAAGGACAAGTCCTTGCCACAGAGGACTTGAGCCCTCTTCTCTGTGCCCACAGCCTTCGCTCCTCAGACCACCCTCAGGTGAACAAGCTGATGCTGACAGAGGAGAGCACCGAGGCTGGGGCAGAGGCTGCGGTGGAGAGCGGAGTGCACCGCGCCTACGACAACGAGCAGGATGGTGTCTGCTACAACTACACCTTCTTCCACATCTGCCTCCTCCTCGCCTCTCTCTACATCATGATGACCCTCACCAACTGGTACAGGTGGGCAGAGCTCCTGTGGGCACTCAGGGATGTCCCTGTTCCTCTGTGTTGCCTTGTCATGAGGTTCTCCCTGCTCTAGCACTGGTTGCTGAGATCTATCTGTGTGTGAGGCCACTGAATGTGCCTCCTAGTCAGGGTTCATTAGTTTTTTTGGTGGCACAGGGTTGTGTCTGGGCTTGGCAGCATCCTCTGCTGCAGCCTGGGATGTCTTGGGCTGCGAGGGAGCACAGCCCCTGGGGTCACATCCCTTGGGTGGCTGCAGCCCCTGTGTCCCTTGCCTGACACCCATGGCTGGGTGCTCACAGCTCCCATCCCTCCCAGCGTGGCTGCTGTGCCCAGGGCATGTGGCAGGATGCCACAGTGATGAGTCCCACCTGCCTGTTTGCTGTTTCAGGCCAGATGAGAGCTTGCAGGTGTTGAAGAGCCCCTGGACTGCTGTGTGGGTGAAGATCTGCTCCAGCTGGGCTGGGCTCCTGCTCTACCTCTGGACATTGGTGGCTCCACTGGTGTTGCCAGACCGGGACTTCAGCTAAGGTGGCTCTGAGCATCCTGCTGCCAGGTTGGAGCCGTTGTGGCCCTGTCCCTCGAGGCCAGGGACAGCCTCAGCTCTGCCCTAGCCTCAGTTCTGCATGTGGGAGCTGCTGTGCTGGGATGTGCCTTCTTGCATGTCTTTTGTTTTAACTTGAAAGGGATGAAGTGCCAAGCAGAGAAAATCAAGGGCTGAGGAAGACCTGAGGGTGTTTTTAAAGCTCTCTCCGTTTCCACATTTGTCTAGTGCCTTTGGTGGTGCCTCCAAATCCTGTTCTTCCAGCAGAGTTCTCTGCCTTGCCTTGGGAGGGTTTGGTTCTCACCAGCTGCTGCTGTTTTCCCTTGGTGCCCCTGGACTGTGGTGCCTTTTGTGGGGCTCTGGGGCCTGGCTGTGTGGCAGGATTCGGCACAGGACCAGTGTTGTGGCCCCAAACAGCCTGGAGGAACACATCTCTGGGGCTTGGAGCTGGAGGCAGATGCCCCACTGCATCCCCCAACCTTGGTGGTGGCCCCAGCTCCTTGGGGGCTCTCCTGCCTGGCTGTCCCCAGGGGAGAACAAGTCAGGTTGGACTTCCCACAGGCTGTGCTGGCCTGGCCCCAGCACCTTGTTAATAAAGTCTTGTTTGGAATAAACCTGGTGGACTTGTCCTTGGATCTTTCTGGTGTGGTGTGCACAGAGACAGAAGAAGAGTGATGCACTACACAGACCTAACACCGGGGTGAGGGCACAGTTGGCTGCCCTGGGGTGCAGGCAGGGGTGGCATCACTGTACAGCAGCTTGGAGCCCTGGACCCTGTGGTCAGCTGGTGGCATCCCAAGAGCCACTGATCATAGAATCATAGAATGTTCAGGGATTGGAATGGATCTTACAGATCATCCAGCGCCAACCTCCTGCCCTGGGCAGGGACACCTCCCACCAGAGCAGGTTGCTCAAGGCTTTAGCCAACCTGGCTGTGAACACTGCCAGGGTTGGGGCAGCCACAGCCTCCCTGGGCAACCTGGGCCAGTGTCTCACCCCCCTCACAGGAAAAAGCTTTGTTTTCTAATATCTAACCTAAACTTCCCTTCCTTCAGTTTGAACCCATTTATTTCCCCTTGTCCAGTCACTGCAGCTCCTAACAGAGTCCCTCTCTAGCTCCTTGTAGACCCTTCAGATAGTGAAAAATTTTTCTGAGGTCTCCACTCAGTCTTCTCCATTCTGAACAGCCTCAACTTCCTCAGCCTGTCCTCATAGGGAAGATGCTCCAGTCCTCTGAGCAACTTCGTGGCCTCCTCTGGATTTGCTCCAACAGTTCCATGTCCTTCTTATGTTGAGGACACCAGAACTGTGTGCAGTGTTCCAGGTGGGTCTCACCAGAGCAGAGTAGAGGGGAAGAATCACCTCCCTTGATCTGCTGCCCACACTCCTGTGGATGCAGCCCAGGATTCCATTGGTTTTCTGGGCTGAGCTCACACTGCAGCTCATGGTGCTGGAGGAGAACACGTTGCAGGTAGGGCAGGTGGTGGTGGTAAGCAAAGAGGTGCACAGGGCACGGGGTGCACACAGCACTGGGGTCCATGAGGATGGGGAACACCCTTGTCGGGGTGCACAGAGCTCGTCCAGGGGTGTGTGCCATGCAGTGTGTCCCAGCCAGGTGTGTGCTGACCCTGGCAGGGTCGGGCAGTGCCCATCGCCCCCCACGGGCACTGCAGCCCATCCCGGCCCGGCCGCCATGGGCCGTATGGCCACCAGGTGGCGCTGAGAGCACATCCACCGGCACCAGCAGCAG